GTCAATATTTTAGGCCTGTTTGCCATGGCTGAGTAGGAGACATATGCATTCTATCATTTCTGCATTCTCTTACCTAGATGGGCATGTGTGAAATACTTTCCTTGCTTTTCTTTCCCTTGGAATGAATGATTCATGTTATTTTCCTGCTAGAAGCTGGAAAGAGCTCTCTATAATCTATTAGAGAAAACTTTGAGAAAAATAATCTTAAGTGTTCAATTCAGTACCTTCATAATGTGCAACCATCACTGCCATCCACCCTCAGAACTCTTGTTATCTGTCTAAACTGAAACTCTGTCCCCATTAAACAATAACTCTCCATTCCTATCTCTCCCCAGCCCTGGCACCCAGCATTCTACTTTTCATCTCTATGAGTTTGACTACTCTAGGGACCTCATATAAGTGGAATCCTACACCATAATATCTTTTTGGCAATCTGCTTATTTTTAATGCTATCTTGCATTTGTGTTTTATACTTTGAAAGTGATTTTACATATATCATTTCATTTTAGTTTAACTCATTTCCATAATTTGTGAAATATGGTAGATGATTCTATTTTTATCTAATTCATGGAAATGTTGCACTTTGGGAGATCAAGGTGGGAGGATTGCTTGAGGCCAGGAGTTCGAGACCAGCCTAAGCAAGAGTAAGACCCCGTCTCTACTAAAAGTAGAAAAATCAGCTGAGCATGGTGGTGTGCACCTGTAGTCCCAGCTACTTGGGAGGCTGAGGCAGGAGGATCACTTGATCCCAGGAGTTTGAGGTTGCAGTGAGCTATGATGAGGCCACTGCACTGTAGTCCAGGCAACAGAGCAAGGCCCTGTCTCAAAAAAAAAAAAAAAAAAAGTGGGAAGGAAATGAAATAACAAATGAGCATATGTCTTGAAAATAAAAATAGATTTCCAAGTTAGTGTGCTGTTGTAGAAAGCAACACTATAATAACAGTAGAAAAGTAGAAAAAAGAGTTTGAGTTCCATTTCCACTATCTATATAAGCTGAGTGACTTAGGTAACTTTTTTTGTGATTGTTTGTTTTTGGAGACAGAGTCTCCTGTTGGCCTGAGGTAGAATGCAGTGGCATCATTGTAGTGCACTGCAACCTCCAACTCTTTGGCTCAAGCGATCCTCCCACCTCGGCCTCCCAAGTAGTTGGGACCACAGGTGCACGCCACCATGCCTGGCTAATTTTTACTGGTTTTAGTAGGGACGGGGTCTCGATCTTGCTCAGGTTGGTCTCCAACTCCTGAGCTCAAGCAGTCCTCCCGCATTGGCCTGACTTTAGGTAAATTTTAACGTCTTTTAGCCTCTGTTGCCTCATTTATGATGTGTAACCTCTACTTACAGAGTTCTCATGGGGATCAGATGGTACATGTAAAACACTGTGAAACAGTAACTGCATAGATGTGTTCATTAGTTACTCAGGGTGGGGAGTACATTCCACTGTGATGCACATTGTCTAAAGCTATAAATTACCGTTACTTTTGTGTGAAATGACTTTAAATACTTGGCAAATATTTGGTGCCCTATGGCTATAGCACAGCTTTGTTCATCTGATCTCCACCATCCAGGTCTCTCTGAAAGTTTATAGATCCAGAAAATTAGATTGCTTCCAGTCTCAGTGCTTCATGCTTTATTCTTGTCATTTTGTTTTTTGAGAATTCTCGATGGACTTTATGGAATGTTGGCTCACATTCACATATTAGTAAAGTATGTTGAGATACCTAAGATTTATTTGTGGTTCTGTTTGCCATATTAAACCAAAATAATAGCTGTTAATAGTTTTCACATTTGTCTCTTCTGTTTTTATGGAGTAATGATGAGAGTTCATTGTACTTCTTGTTCTGCAAAGGGGAATGTTAATAGGATGTGTTTTGGAGCCCAAAAGGTTGTCCTTGGTCTCATCAGATCAAGAACAAATTTGTTTTAGGATAATCTCCATACTTTGCCAGGATTCCAGAGT